GAGGGCAGGTGTTGTGGCGGAGACCTCCGGGCTGGGGCAGCGGAAGGCTTCACTGCCAGCCCTCGGAAGCGAACCGTGATAGCTTAAGGCTTCTCCTCCTCCCACGCCATGTCGATGACAAAAAAATCACGCTGTTTTCTCATTTTAAAAGATAAGTGAACGTATTTTAATCTTGTGCATTATTTTGCTGATAGTGTTATTTGAGGTCAATGTTAAATATTAATTAGTTCACATTAGTATAAACAAGCAGTTAGAAAATATATTCTACAACTTTTATCAGGCGTACCGCACAGGACAGTTCCGCCTTGATGTAAGTGTTGTCTCAACGTCCCTTTAATTATTGTGAGGACTTCTACTTTTTGAATTTGAACGCATAACCTGTTTATTATAAAGTGTTTAAGTGACCAACCACGAAGATCATCCTAGTCGACCATTACACCACGGTACCATTACACCTACCATGTATAAAATGTTCGGTTCGGCTCCTCTCGATTTAGTTAAAGATACTCAACGGATTGATTGCGTTTTCAGCGCCACTGCCAGCGCCCAGCGCCAATACATACCAGACACGTATGTATTGTTCATTTTAAATTTGCAGACGCTGATACGAGCGCAGCTGTCTGTTTACACCAGCTACTGGCCTCGAGATCCTCGCATTTCAGGTATGCCTGAATGTAAAGTACGCAGTAAACAACGGAAGGTGCGGAAGATACAAATAACGATGTAAAAAACTGTGAGAAACGAAAATTAACACAAATAATACTCAGAAGTTATGCACTATGTCTTCGAGCTGTGTGATTTCAAAACAATAATTCTCAAACAGTTCTTGTTCGTTTCGTAGTTTCTTCCAGTTCTATCTGCAGGAGTGCATGAGACGCAAGGATTTAGAAGGCGGTGACCTGATATAAACTCCAGCAGTTACTTCCCTATTTTGCTGTGGGTAGATTTGAAAGTGAAGGAATAAAAAGAACTATAAGGGAATACAGCATACATACTGCTAGGTTTTGGCACTAGATGTTTCCTTTAAAAGACATTCTCTTAAAAGTGAGTGCGGATTATAAAACAGCGGGGCGGGGAGCCCTCGCGAACGCAGCACGAGGGATCGGTCGGGTGGTGAAGCGCGTCATCCCGTCGCGGACCACTTCGTGTTGGGTATGCTTTGGTTACAAAAGTGCGTAGGCAAATTGCGTGAAAAATAAAAATATTAAATTCACTGATTCGAAAGGAAGAGTGGCCAAAAAAATTCCGATTTACCTAGTACTGTTGTGTTTTCAAATTGAAATTCCAAAAAGACAATGTAAATTTAATCACAGGTTACTGGAAAAATATAGCTTCATTAAGAAATCCTGCTCAGGATCTGATATGAAGTTCAATGTATGTCAAATTAAGCTACCTGTAGCTCACGATGAAAAAACGGACTCGGTCATTGTTAAACACACTGCTTCTTACAGACTTAAACGTACAGTGCTTGCAGCAGCTTCGTCCAAAATCATTACATTATTTTTAAAGCATTCAAATCTTGAAAAAGCAGAAGAACAGCTGGCAGATGCATGTGGGACGCTTGCGTCGTAAATCATAATCAATGTTTCCGATCAATAGCTACGTGTGAGAAATTTGTGTATTACTTTTAATGTAAAAGTACATGAAAGTAATTATCATGTACGTACATTTAATTTACTGTATTGTACCTGAAAAAGGTAGGCTGAGAAACTCATTTTATTATACGTTAGTTAAAATAGAGGAATAAAATATTTATGTTTTTAAATAGTAACTATGTTTTTTAATTATATATCAAATCTGCATGAATTTTAATTTAAAGATTAAATTTAACGAATAAACACATTAAACTCGTTTTAATGTACAAAGTTCATTACCTTTCTTGTACAGTCGTACATTAAATCTACATTGATTTTAATTTAAGCATTAAATTTAATGTCCAAATACATTAATATTCTTTTAATGTACAAAGTACATTAAAATTAATGTACAGTCGACCATTGATCCACATTAAATTTAATTTAATTCTGAAGTGTTGTGTGTTAATTTAAAAGTTATCTGACAAAATTTTAATCTATGAGAACACAAGCTAAGGCTATAGTTCTGAAGATGTTTTCTCCTTATGCAATTTAGCACCTGAAGCAGGAGCTAGAAAGAGTGCATTTTGTGCCAGTGTTTATTAATGTTTCAATCACAAAAGCACCGCATTGCTTCCCATTCTTGTTCGTTATTTCTCAATGGAGTCAGGATTGAACTTTTCTACAGCACACATCGACAAATACTAAAATATATAATTGTTTAGGGACTTGTAAGAGCAGGAATTTTCCAGGAATTTTCGAATATTTTCTCACATCCAATAAGCGTAAAGGCGAAACGATTACGAAGTCTTAAGAAAGAGTCAACAATAAAAACGATCAAACTGAACTCTTTACCTACACAAGGACAAACGCCTGCGAGGACCATCGCTGACCTCTCCATTGGTATACGTCTGTTAGGCACATAAATTGCTAAAACGTATCCTAACATAGGCACTATACGAAAAAAATAGTTAATAATAAATTGTATTCACTCTAAATTTTCGTTTTCTTTTGCACATCACAAGTTTGAGAAAACGCCAATACATATATAATTCAGAAATGGACATACATTTGATAAATCTCGTTATTAACTTAGTTTAACAATAAATATGTTATTTAATTTATATTCTTTTGCACCTTGTTTTCACCTATCATAATCCTGGAAGGCGGCAACTATGAATTTTCTGAATTTTAGCATGTTCTATAAAACAATACGAGCGAAGTGGCTCAGGGTGGAACGTGCTGATTTCACAGTCTGAAGGCCCGGATTCGATCCCCGGGTCAGACATCTTAAACGGTTTTTCTTGGTATCGCTGTCATACAGGCGAATGCTGGTTCCAAAATGCGATGATAATTTATCATCATATTACCTCATAATTCACAGGCTGGGATCCAACCGCTTTAAATATCCTCTTAGAGGGATCGCCAAAGATCGCACGCGATCTAAGTACCACCATTAACATCACTACCACTACAATAAAACAATGAAAAATATTATTTGGCGTTCTATTTTAAATATTGTATAAAAATTAACTAGACAACCATTACTTCAGCGAGTTCCTACCACATTACAACTATATCACTAATGTTTTGTCCAGAGAACACCTTTTGTATTTGCTATAGCTTTTAAATATTTATCTCTCCCAACCATAGTGCTGCGGGCTATATTTTTTCAGAACTACTTCAGCCAATTTTTTAAAACAAAACCCCTTTCCTTGTAAATACATACTT